AAGAGGATTCACCAGAGAAAGCAGGGAGCAGAACAGGCAGATTGACTGAAATACACTGCTGAGGGGAACAGTGGGAGACAGGAGAGGTCTGCTGTGCCCCGTGGGTCAGCTCCCTGGCTGGGGATCAAATTTGTGCTGCTAGGATTGCGATAGCTCATAATGCTGTGCTTTGACCCATTGCACCACAAAGGAGGGCCCAGAAAATTTTTATTTTAGAATGTCTGAGCTATCCCAAATTTGGGGAATATACCCCAAAGAATGGAAAGCAGAGGTACATAGAGTCAGCTGCACACCTGTGCTCACAGCAGCGTTAATCATAATAACCAAGTGGTGGAAATACGCCTCATGTCTGAGGTTGGCTGAATAGATAAACAGAAAGTGTTGGATAAGTGCAGAGGGCTATGATTCAGCCTCAAGAATACGGCAATATACTACAACACGGATGAGCCCTGAGAGCACTGGTTAGTACACAAAGACAAGCCCTCCTGGGTGCCACCTAAGTGAGCTTCCAACAATAGTGGCCACCGAGGGCTTCCCAGGACCCGGGGAGGGGAAGTGGCTTCACAGGGACAGAGTTGCAGTTTTGCAAGAATCAAAGAGCTTTTGCTATTGTCCAACAAGCTGCATGTACCTAACACTACTGACTGTACCCTTAAAATGGTTAGGATGATAAATTTGATGTGTAATTTGACAATTAAAAAGGAGGTTACTTTGAGGAACACGCCAATAAGAAGTGTATGGCACTGGCCATGAAGAGTTCGGACACAAACATGTAACTGAATCTCACGGAGCCATTCGGGCTAAGGTCCATTTCCAGAAAAGTCAGTGTTTGGAGGCCCAAACTCCAGGTCATCACAGGGAGCAAGCAGGGCCCAGAAAGTGGGAGGGGCTGCAGCTGCTTCTGCCTACCAGCCAGTGATATGGAAGGAGGGGGTGTGTGAGTGTGTGGGTGAGGGGGGGTGTTGGGGTGATGAGGATTAAGCTTCTTAAGAACTGTCACCGCCCCCAGGCAAATGTGGACCTGAACTGGATCTATTGATTTTTACAGATGTCCTCATTCAACTGTGATTCTGTCAGAACTGGCTTAACTTTTTAAAAATTTGTAGTGAGGGGTCCTCCCTGGTGGTGCACTGGGTTCAAGCACAGCAGTACGAAGCTGGCCGCAACCACTCAGCACAAGTTTGATCCCCGGCCAGGGAGCTGACCAACATGGTGCAGCAGACCTCTCCGATCTCACCTGCAATGTATTTTGTCCATCTGCCTGTTCTGCTCCCCACTCTGTCTCTGGTGAATCCTCTCACCCCTCATACCCCAGTTCTGTA